CGCGCCATTTCCCATTTTTCTTTTGTACAACGACCACATTCGATAACCAGTCGGGGTAGTGCACTTCTCTTACGAACCCCGCATCAAGCAACCTATCAACTTCCTCGGCAATAATTCGGTTGCGCTCGGGGGCAAACCGTCGCTGCTTCTGTTTTACAGGTTTTGCATTGGGATTAACGTTCAAGGAATGACAAGATACCGAAGGATCGATCCCGGGCATGTCCAAGTGACTCCATGCGAACACATCTGCGTTTTGAGACAAAAAATCAACTAATTCCTGCTTTTCCTCCTCAATGAGTCGTTCCCCTACTCTGGTTGTCCGTTCCGGTCGAAACTGATCGATCTGCACATCAAGCAAGGGTTCTTCAGTCAAGCCCTCTGGTTCCTCCTCTCCGTTCTGCCTGGAAGGAGGCTCCTGTAATTGCTATCTCGGACTCACTGAACGAATGGGAGCTTTCCCCTTTCCGGCATGTTTCAGCGTTACAGAGTAACATTCTTTAGCTGCAACTTGGTCTCCATGAATGTCAATCACTTTGGTTCCGTCTGGTGCCAGGCATCTCATTACCTGATGCAGAGTGGAAGGAACACCTCGAACCTTGTGGATCCACCCTCTGCCCATCAGAAGATTGTAAGAGGGATGAATTTCAACAACTACAAAGGTTTCCATCAAAACCCTCTCGGCAGCATGTACCGCTACCTCCACCGTGCCGACGGGTTCCACTCGCTTTCCATCAAACCCTACTAGCGGATTCCCGGTGGATTTCAGCTAATCCTGTTTGATCTCGAGCCGATCGAATGTATCTCTTGGCATGATGTTCGCACTACTTCCAGGGTCAATTAGAACTCTGCTCACCAAGCATTTGGCCACTGTCAAACTTACGACCAGCGGGTCCTCATGAGGGATCTGAACATGCAACAAGTCTGTCGCGTCAAACTTTATCTGCGTTGATGCGCTCTGTTGGTGCAGAGTGTTTACACTGCCTATCCTTCTCTTCATCCGTGCCTGACGAAGGCGTGTTCGAAGCAATTCATCTGATTCCTCAGCAGGTTCTGGCCGACCGTGAATTGCATTAATTACTCGAACTGGTTGCGTGTTGTGAGAATTCGATTTCTGACTCTTCTTTACATGCTCTATTGGCCGGTTCTGCTCCACCGCTGGTCCTTGAATATAACTAGCGAACTCCCCTCTGGCTAGCAGCATCTCTACCTGTCTCCTTAGGTTCCTGCATTCGTTAGTCTGGTGGCCAAAATCAGAATGAAATGCACAGTGTTTAGATTGATCCCTCTGTTCGAGAGGTTGCCTGATTGGTAAAGGAGTTCGGAACTTATCTTTATTTTCTTGGTACAGTCTTGCTAGGGTAACTTTCAATGGAGTAATCAGCTCTTCCTCTCTGGGCCTCTTCTCAGATTTCCACGAGGAGCGTTGCGGTTGGACCTATTTTTGCCTGATCTTTGCTTTGGTCTTTTCTTCCGTGGATATAACGGATGTCTTCCGAGCGTTTGCTGCCTCTTCTTCTTCCAAGCGTATAAATCCATCGGCTCTTTCGTTGAGTTCATCCATAGTCCTCGGCGTGTTGACAACCAAACTCGTGTGGAACGGGGTGCCACGATTCATAGCCAGAATGAATGCTTGAACTGCCGTTGAAGGATGGCATTCAATAACCATGCTCTTGGTAAAGGTAAACCTGGTTAGGAAAGCCTGGAGATGCTCTTTAGCGTGTTGCTTCATTGTGAATAAGCTCGAAATATCTTTCGCTGGACGCTTGTTTCCATAGTATTGGCTTATGAACCGATCGCACAAGCTTCGGAAACTATCCACCGAACCCCTCGGCAGGTTCTTGAACCAATTCAGAGCTGGTCCGGCTAGACTCGTAGGAAAGCACTTGCACATCAAAGAATCATTCTCAGTGTTTAGAGCCATTTTCAGCTGGATGTGATACACATGATCGATCGGATCAGTCGTTCCGTCGAATAGAATGAAAACGGCCATGGAAAATTTCCTCGGACTCGGAGCATTCAGAATCTCATCGGTGAACGGTGAATCCACCATTCGAGCTGCTGAACGGAGTGCTTCATTCTCCCTATGGAATCCTGCGGTTGCTCTCTGGTCTACTGATCTCCTCTCTGAGCTGTAATAGTCGAACGTCGTTATGGAAGGCCGGTAGGTCGGATCGAATGATCTATCCTCAACAAAGTCCTTGCGCCATGGAGGCATAGCTTTCTGACGAATCAACTCTGTTGCTTCACCTCGGCTGAGCGTTTCTTGATGTGGATCAAAAGTCATCGCTTCGTTTCGCCTGATCTGCTCACGCCGTGGATCCATGTGAATCGATCCTTCACGATCATCCATACGACGAAGATTTGGTAGCAGACCGTCTCGCCGGATTTCCTCGCGGTGAGGATCAACTAGATTGTTTTCAACCTCTTCACCGTGATGTGCTGCATCGGTACGTGCACCTTCTTCGCCTACCGGAAGTGGTCGTGGAATTACTGGAGCTTCTTGACGCTGTATTTCATTCCTTAGATCTGCATTTTCTCTCCGGAGAGGTTCGATCATGTTCATCAACTCATCGAGTTTCACTTGCTGGATGTTCTCAACCGTATTAGAGTTGTCACCCCCTATCATGATTCCGGATTGAAGCAAAGGCATGAATTACGAACTTCGAAACAGATCTAAGCGTTACCGATGCAAACTCCGCTAGTTCTGGGCTTAACTTTACCGAATCGTGATCGCTGTTTGCTAGATCTGAGCTTTTCTAGCTTCAAACTCGTCGGATCTGACTGCAACTGAGCAAATCGCAATTGCATCCTTCCAAAGCAAATGCCTCAGAATTCACAATAATCAAGAATTCTCTCGGAGCAAACTACAATCTCACTGATCTGGATTCAACTTCCAGAAGTTACACTGCATATTCACAAACTCGATTGACCTAATATGGGACTGATCGGGCTCGAATTGATCTTCGTCCTCGTTTCCCACAGACGGCGCCAATTGAAGATACAATATTCAGTTTCATCTCTCTCACTCTTACTTTCTCTCTCTCTCTCTCTCTTCTCCCTCCGTCATGGTCTATTTATAGGCCATGACCTTCTTTTGCAGTTAACCAATTACATTGGGCTTATAGCCCAAAGTTCTCTTCCTTCTGGGCTGGGTCTTGTAATGGGCTTGACCTTCCTCGGTGGACCCTCCACGTTCGGCCCACTCCAGGGTGCTTTGACATGGATCCTTCTTCAATCATTCGACCCGATCTCGTTTCCGCGATCCATATCCGGCCCATGCCACTTGCCGCATCCTCAGTCGGTGTTATTATTTTTTATATCTTTTCAAGGATAAAGTTAGAATATGACAATTTCAAGTTCTTCTATTGGCTACTCTTATGGCATTCCTGTTTAGTTGGTTCTTGTTTTTCAATTGAAATATACCGCTATCAGGTACATATCTATTCTTTCTATAATGAACATTTATAGAAATAAAATAAATAAATAGAACATCAAGAAGAAAGTAAGGATAGAAAGCCAGTATTAAGAGGCCACAGAATAGGGGATGTAATCTCCCTAAAAAAAGTTCTACGATTTCTGGCACGTGCTGCATAAGAAAGAAACTTTATTGTCATATTGCATGTTGGGAGGAACTTTGAGTTGCAATGGAAAATTTAGCAGGTACATATAGAAAGAAATGCGGGGAGTTGCAGGCTGATTCCTCATTGGATCTTTGTAGTGGCAATTTCTTTTAAATCTAGGTGTGCTGGTAACTGAATTTCAAGTAAAACCGTTCCTTTTTTCAATCAAGGAGAGAAGTTTTCCTTTTTGTGTTATTTTACTATTACCAGGGAAGCTGAGATGATGATAGGAGGGACTAGAAAGATATGGTTGATAGAGAACGTATGAGGGAGAAATTAGGAATAGCTTAGGTGGTATGAACATACACAACATAGATGATACCCAACATAGATAGTAGGTGCACCGGTAAGAAAAGGAGATTATTTTTTGCACAAAAAGTAACAGACAAAAAGGCATGCCAACGGGCCAGTGGCCTAGCGGTATTAGATGCCTACTTCCCAAAGGGAGGTCGTGGGTTTAAGTCTCAGCGGAGGCATGTGTGCGTGAGTACCAACTAAGGGGAAAAAGAAAAAAAAAGGAAAAAAGAATTCTCATAGTCGACCCATTTGTATGGGGATAAAGGCAATGATGACGATGACTACGACAACAATGACAACAACAATTAGGTGTTTCATTTGGTTAAAGCTGGATTGTTTAGGAAGCCAGCATAAACCATCCACAGAGTTAGAGAATCAACTGTACAACTCATCTGATCTGATCCTCCAACAAATATGCTGGAATAGGTACTAGTGATTGAATGTTTCAAACTTGGACCAAGGTGATATAAGTAATTGGTTTGACCTGTGCTATATGTATATGTGTAACAAGTATTCTATTGCTGTATATAAAGTATAGAATAAACCTGGATAGGTTTACATATATAATTCTGTAAAGTTTTTATATTTATACATAAATGTAATTGTAATATTCGTGTGTGCCATATTGTCACTTTTTAGTTGTGATAATTCGCACAGAATGTTTCATCCCTAATACTGCTTGGCCAATTCACACACTGCAACCTGGAAATCCTTCAAGTTATTCCCAGAATCATCGCGTACTCCAAACTTAAAATTAAACTTGGCACCCCTTGGTTTTGTTCTGGTAACAAGGCAATTTAGATATTATACTTTCTTAGATGAAGCCAATTACAATATTTAGTTTGTCGCTTATATTTTCTAAATGAATTCGGTATAACATTCATGTTTGAAGCTGAGAATTTGTTCGTGGGTTCACGTATTTGTTCAGGCTGCTCAGGACAGCCACATTGTGTAAACAATGTCAAAGTTTAGTGATGTACCAGTTTGCGCCTCCCAGCACCCTTCACTAACTGGGGCCAATATTGTGTAATAACCTTTGTTTTTGTTGAAGGTTAACTTACGGTTAGTGGTTTTGGATTACAGGTGAGCTCAGTTGGAGTTACCGGTACTCGGACATCTGTAAGTGGAAAGGTTGAATCTCTTCTGCAGGAAATAAAAGAGGTTTGTCTTGTATGCCGATACTTTTAGCCACAAAAATGAATAGAATTGTCTTTAACAGTGCTTTTGAAAGAGGTTCAAGTCTTGTGTACGCATAAAATGCTATCAGGTCATTCGGTTGACTGGCATCAACGTTAACTGCTCAGCTTATGTATAGTGCGTCAGTCCGCACCCAACCCTTGAAATACGAGTGCATGATTTGTTCTATTTGCACTTGTTTGAAGGGTTTCAAATACTTTTATGCTCCGTTTGGTAAGAAGGATGGGAAAGTGAGTGGAAGGGATAGTAGAAAGGATGAAATGAGGCTTCCCTAGGGAAGGAAAGGAGATATTTTTTTTCGTATTAAACTCTCGTTAGATAATTTGACCAAAATTAGTTAAAGGAAATAATGTCACTTCACATAATATATAATCGTTATCTTTCTCTTCCCTCCAATTTTGAGGGGATGAAAATTTATGGCTGAGGAGGGATGGCTCATCCATCCACCCCCCCCTTCCCGCATGTTTTCCCTCCTACCAAACAATCATCCTTCCCTCCCTCCCTCTGTCATCCTTACGGGATGAACTTGGTAAAAAATTAGCGAGACATTGCCCTCTCATCCTCATTCTTCATGTGGAGTTATTGCCTTGTTCCAATTTTATGAAGTCAATTAAGGTGTCTTTTAAATTTATCCATTCCACTTTTTTGGTTAAATTGGTCGACCCCATTCAGACAGACCAAGGCAAGGATGATGATGCCAACCTTTTTGGCATAATTTTTACTATGATCATTCTACCATTTGACAGAATGCTAACTTTTTGGTAAAGTAGACGGCCATGACTCCATAAGGCAAGGATAATGATGACGACTTTTTTGATTTTTTTTTTGTTTTTCTTTCAACTACGATTGCCCATCCTTCCATTTGATGGAATGCTCACTTCTGGGTAAAATTGATGACCACAGATGAGTCAAGTCTTTTGTCAATTTGCTGTTTTCACTGGTCTCAAATGGCATTTGATTATATGTGACTTATACAATAAGCCACATTCTAGACCCCCAGACTAATGAAAGAGAGAAATTATACCATTTGTACCTCGTACTAATTTGTCGAAGTTGATCACGTGTGCGTTGTACCATTCCTTTGCAGGCGACTTGTAAGCCGGTGGCAGTTGGCTTTGGTATATCAAAACCCGAGCATGTGAAGCAGGTTTTTGTCCTAAGATTCACATGAATGTATATATGTATTGGTAGATTTCTACATAGAGTGGAGTTTGCTAATGCATTTCAAATCTAATATGTTACAGGTGGCTGGATGGGGAGCTGATGGCGTGATCGTAGGTAGCGCGATCGTGAAATTGCTGGGCGAAGCGAAATCTCCAGAAGAAGGGTTGAAAGAATTAGAAATCTTCACCAAGTCGTTGAAGTCCGCCCTGGCTTGATAAACAATTATGTTGTATTAAATTAAGCTTGTAAACTCTTCTTTCAAACTTTAAATAAATATTGGAGTTACATAATAAGCATAATATCGACTCATTCTCCAACTTAAATAGGCATGAGTTGTTCTTCTTCATATAGCATCCAAACCATATCAGCAGACCCAAATTTAGTTCTCACAACATGCATCAACTGATTCACCTTCTAGTATGTTCATCTGACACCATGACTGAGTGTTAATTTTTTTGTTTATTATCATTATTATTATTATTTATTTATTCAGGTAAAAATCCCACACCTTGAATTGGTAAATGTAAGTGAGACCATTGGGTTTTGCAGCGGAACTGTACAGTAAACGCGGTAGTATATGTGGAAAGCTTGAGCTTGTTTGGTTTGTTTTTCTAAGAATGATAAATGAAAATCAGAAAAAGTAGTATAGAAATTTGTTTGGTTTTCATTTTTTTAAAAAAATTAGTTAAAAAAAATATTTGTTTTCTGTGAACTATTATCTTGTTTTAGGTCACTACAAATAATCTTCTACTTTCATTGTTATTGAGAACTATTTTCTAAAAATTGAACTAAACATCCTGTACATTTAATTGTGAAGAGAATGAAGATATTAATAGCAAAAATATGGTTAAATTAAAAAGGAAAATAATTGTAAGGCCTATAAATAGTCATTGATTACATTCAAGTGGGATGTGTGTGGGATCACATAATATTCCATCCATGGGTCTCAAAATCGGCCATGGGATCACATAGAATCCCACTGGCATGTAATCAACCGCTTTAAATCCTTGGGCCTCAAAATGGGTCAAATTTGTACACCTGAGCACGGTTCAACAAAAAATGGTATGGAGAAGGATATCAATTGGCCAGTACAATCATATTCGGAGTAAGAATGTCATTAGCATAAATCGTATGATAAGAATGTCATTAGCATAAATCGTATGATAAGAATGTCATTAGCATAAATGGTATGATCTCTCCTCTCCAAAAAGAGATTGTGGCCACATGTTTTAACTTCTGAATAATAATAATAATAATAATTTAAAGAAGTTTTTGGAGGTAAGGGTGCAATCTTGTTCACAGTACCTCTCATTTCAATCCACACAATCAACTTCTAATAAGTGAAAAAACTATGAGCATAAAGTTTAATATTCAATTAACCAGGCGGATGTTTGGCTTCAAGTCTCTTCCCCACTGGTTTTTGACCAGTAACTCAAGGAAGACATCAAGCAAATGACATTTTACAAAATTAGCTAAATAGTGATCCCATCTAGTTCATTGTCATCAAAATATTATTTATTCAAACAAATAAAAAAAAACTAAGAACCAAGTAGCAGATTCGACATTTTTGACAAGAAAAAATAAAAATATTGGAAGAGGAGCAACTTAAGTACAGTGATCACGATACAAACTCGGCAGCGAATAAATATATAATATTGAGCATATATATGTGATTTAATGCCTTCCGGATGCGACTGATTCAGTCGAGAACAGGTTCTTCACTCGTGAAAGAATAGAATCATGGTTAGGATCATATGGATGATCCTTGGAGGGAATCTCCAAAATTGCAGGAACAGGCTTGTTGTAGCTATCAACTAAAAACCTTATCATGTTTGCAACCTGGAAATCAAAGACAATGTTTTACCAGACAAGAAAAATAGAAATCGAAACGCACAGAATCCTAGCACGCTCATTCATCTATCAATATTTACAACTACAGTAAAATTAAGAGTGTGCTTATTCATCTATCAATATAGCCACGGTGCATATTTAATTTAAGTAACCAAAGAAAAACAAAATATGATTGATAGAAACATTGGCAGCTGTCAATTATGTAATTCGGGATTTTGTTCAAATGCGAGGGTTAAGACTCAGACACCTCTTACTTCTTTCCCTCAACTCTTAACACATGAGGAATTCAAATTGTATTCTCTGTTACTGGATTTATTCCAAATGGGAACGTCAGACTATACCTCTCCACAGTCGAACTATATTATTCTTGCTCAAGAGGGATTCACTGAAATGTAATAATTGTTTGGCTATAGACTGGATTTCCAATATGGCAATGATCAATCGCTTCATCTAACCAAGCTATCCACATTTGCCAAGAAGACCATACAGTGTTAAAAAAAAGACATGTTTGTGTTAAAATAATAATAATAATAATAAAATTAATAAATAATAGGTTTCAAAAGATATATTTGAAAGATGAAACAATAACGAATTAACTGCTAGTGTATGCATATGAACCAGTTTAACCAACCGACTTTCCTAATTAACATTCACATGGCGCCACAAAAAGAGTATTAGAAATTAATTCATAAAACATGATAAGAGTACAATAGACAACTTACATATTGGCTGATCATCACAATTGCAATGTCCTCTCTTGTTGTGAACTCCTTGAATGCATCTTCAATTTCTTTAACCGTTGTTTCTAAGCCATAATTAAAAATTACATATGAGGCAAGAATAAGAACATGCAAAAGCTCACTTGAAAAAATTTGATGAAATAAAAAAGGCTCCAACCAAGAAGGTATGGAAAGAACGAAAATTTGGAATCCTACAACGTAACTATAGTCCCCCTAGCCCAAATATTTGTAAGATTCCAAATTTTCTTCTTCCTCGAATCAATTGCAGCATTAGCAAATCATAAATTTCCTTGATCATTTCTTTTCCCTTTGAAAATCATTCCAAGATGTATAATGAAAATATTGCATAAATCAAAATATGTTGTAGAAATTAATAGTAATGGATATTAAAAAACGTCGAAACAGGTTATACTAGGCCAACCAGCCTCTGTTCTTGGGCTAGACATTCACATCTAGGATGCAATTATTAGTCATTCCTTTCTTGGGACTTAATTCTAGAAATCACCCAAAAAAAAAAAAAAAAAACACACACACACACGTCAAAGCCATTCATATTCTCAAGCTCATTATTTCAAGTAAATATGGAAATTGTGTTCCCATATCTAAGTTACCTGGACTCGGTTACGTGTGTCGGTTGTGGGTATGTATGCAAGTGCCAAACATATCAAATTTCTAACTGAATGACACATGGACACTGCTAAATATTAATATTATCTACTATTTTTATTTAATTTAGAGTAACATAATTTATTTATGTTACAGAGTATTTAATATAGGCATTTGACTTGTTTTGAAGCAATAATATGAAAAAATTGAATCATTAGATATTATTTTTTGTTTTTTCAGTTGCATGTCCAACCAAGAGTGTCAGACACGTCTCATACCCATGTGCTAGTATTGTGTGTCCAAGTACTTCACTACTTTTGAAGAGTCCATGTAACATATAGCTCAAAAGTGAAGATGATTAGAGCCTGCAAATGCCCCTATTACAGGAATTCATGTCTAACAAAAGGTGCTAATATGACTGGCATCTTATTTTTTTATAAGGTAATCACGTCAAATAACATTACAGTATAAAAATTAAAAACATCAATCATGTGGGATGTAACAAGTTCTCAATAAATATCTGAGTTTCTATATAGTTGCACTAGTAATAGTACTACTACATGGCGTGCAAGTAACTCAGACGTAAGCCCCTTATATGAACAAAGCTAGGAAAAATAAAAAGCAGTTACCCACAATTAATGTTCAGAATGCATCAGCTCAATCTTCTGAATGCAACACAAAAACACAGCAAAAAAGCAAGACAAACCTCTAGCAATCTAACACCGAAATCAATTACTTTTATTTAAAGTTTGAACATCATTCCACACAAAGGACTCGCTAGATTCCAACCCCCTGCCAGGCCTTCTTTGCCAAGGCATCAACTTAAATTTGTAACCCTTCATTTCCGTATTGTTACAAACAATGAATGATAAGAGTAATGGAACAATCACATAATTCGTCCATTGGATATGAATTTGCTGATAAATAATAATAATAATAATAACATTCTAGAGATTCTACATAAAGAAGCTCTTAACCAAGTCTAAGAGGCATACTTGAATCCACAATAAGATAATTAGTCTTTCTCCTTATGTCAACATTGCCCACTCCAGCCAGTAAAAATCCAGTGATTGTATCCTGCATAGATACGTAATTTATTTGATAAGCCCCAAAAGTACTGCGAATAACATGAACTGACATGTCAGCTAACTCCATAGTTAAAAGGAAAAAAAATTATTTCTTTCTTTTGCCAAGCAATAATTTTTTTGAATCCATAGAAATCCATTAGTGAACTTAAAAAGATACGCTTATTGCACATTTGTGCCCTTTGTACACATCATGCTTATTTGCACTCTTCATGATTCCTTTGTGTTAAAATATATAAAAAATTGAAGAGGAATATAACGTGGTTCAGTCACTAGGGCTTACATCCACGACACACAAAGCACAAAGGACTACATCAATTTTTATTATAAACTTTCTTAATTGTGTTTACAAATACCCACCTCTATTTATAGGTGGGTTAGAAAAGAGTTGTAAACAAAAAATAACAAAAACTTGCTTTACAAGAATATGATTATAAAGGAAAGACTTCAAAGAAAGTCAAAAGACAAATATGGTAACAATCAATCAGTCATATTAGGAAAAAATTGTTACTCAAATATAGTAACTTTAACACTCCCCCTCAAGGTGGAACATGTATGAAAATAACGTCCAGCTTGCATATCAAATCATGAAACATAACTTTTTCCAATGATTTGGTGAAGATATACGCAAGTGAACATAGGGTCTGCAAGAGTGAAGAACATGATTCTAAGCACTTCATCAAAAATTTGGCATATAGCCAACAATATGCATTTAAGCATATAAAAAATAACTCTGCAACGATAACAAGATGAAAATATATGATGATATTTGGTGTAGAGGCTCCCCCTGATGGTATGGTTACAACGAGACTCCTTTGAAGATGTCACTATTCAGTTGACATGAACACGAAATGCACGAAATGATGCAACGTGCAAAACGATGACAAAAAATTAACAATTTTTGCCTAACACTTTGATAATAGAGAAAAAATCAATCAAGATGAAAGGAGCGGAAGAATGATCTAGAGTAGGGTACAATAAACCTGTGATGATACCATGTTAACATATATAAAAGGGTTAATTACACTGACACCCCCTCAAGTTTGGCCAAATATTACACTCAAACACCTTTCGAAAATAACCATCACTCACACTACAAACGTTTGGTCCGTTTTTCACTTGCACCCCAAAAGTTAGTTTTCAGGAATGTTAGACCACGTTTTACATATAAAAAGACATTGTTACCCTTTGACTATGTGTTGACTAATTAAAAATTATTTCATGTATAAAATGACTTAACTACCCATAAAATCCATGTTAAGTGACCAAAATACCCATTGCCATTAGTCTCACAAACATACACACTCATCATCAATCACCACTATCACCATCACCACCATAATTGATTAAATCTTTCTCTCTTTAAATATATATATATATATATATATATATATATATATACACAGACACACACACAAATTTCATATATATTAAATTGGTTGATGGTGGGTTTCAATTTTTGATGGCCGTGGGTATTACTAACGGTTGGTTTGAACTTTCAATTGTATATATACCCTACATACATCACCCAAATTGTATGGTGGACCTAAACTTTTATGGACAATAGAATTAGTTTGAAAGCTCAATCAACTTCTTCTACCAATGAAAAAAAAATCACTTTGAGTCCATGAGTTCCACACTCAAAAAATGAGATGTTAAAAATTTTGGAAAACACATTTAGGTGCACTATATAATGCAACAGTTATATATGCATATTGAAGGATCGGCACACTGTCTCTCTAAAAACATCGAATTCCTCACTCTCTGCACCCACCAATTCCCAATTGGGTCTATCAAAAAACAGCACCACCCACTCTACCACAAATCCATTTCTCTCTAAAGCCACAAGCAAGTCTCTGTGTCTCATCAAAATGACTGGCCACAAAAATGGTTGCCAAGGGCTGGGTAAGGGTGGAGCAAAGAGGCATCGCAAGGTCTTCTGCAACAACATACAGGGCATTACCAAGCCGGCGATTCAAAAGACTATGTGTGTATGTGCATATATATATATATATATATATATAGATGCCCAACTTCTCTGCTCCCGAATTTCTAACTCCACCAGTTGCTCCTCGATCTCGCTATTTGTGCTGGGCTTGCAATTGAGGTGATGGAGTGTGGATTATACATATATATATATATACATACGCATTAAATAAATATGAGAATTTGGCACCGTTCTCTGATTATGAGAGAGCTAGGGGGGAATGGGTAGGTTAGATTAATGAATGAGGTCAAAAAAGACATTTTAGATTGTTGATATTTTGAAATAAAAAGTATTAAAAAATTAGGGGCAAATTTGTCTTTTCGCACATTTTTAAAGGTGTTATTGACGGAAAAGTCATTTTGGACTTAAGTGATAGTAATTTTCGAAAGATGTTTCAATGTGATATTTGTCCGAGGGTATCACTGAAATTAACCATATATAAAAAATTGAAGAGAGAAATAAGATAGGACAGCACGCGAATATAACGTGGTTCAGCCACTAGGGCTTACATCCACGACACACACAGCCTAAAGGACTACATCAATTTTTGTTATGAACTCTCTTAATCGTGTTTACAAATACCCACCACTATTTATAGGTGGGTTAGAAAAGAGTTGTAAACAAAGAATAACAAAGACTTGCTTTACAAGTATTCTTACTTTACAAGAATATAATTATAAAGGAAAGACTTCAAAGAAAGTTAAAAGACAAATATGGTAACAATCAATCAGTCATATTAGGAAAAACTTGTTACTCAAGTATAGTAACTTTAACACTTTGTACACCGCATGTTTCCTACAATGTGTGAACTTCCTCTACAACATTAAAGACGCTTGTTATGAATGAGGAAAAAGAGCAGCTGACTGGATGCTTAAGATCACTCATATTGGTCAGTATTATCTCGGTCATAAAAAATAATGAAGAGAATAGTAGTGTAGTGAATGTGCAATAATCAAAATTCATATAGCATGTTGCATTTTCGATTTCATATGAAGTAGAAAGAGAAACGCTTTTTCTTTTTCTTTTTCTTTTTTTTGTGGTGTGATTTACTTCGAAACAAAAACTTGTTTGGTAACTAATTTGTTGCAAAATGTTTCATAAAAAAAAAAAAAAGTTTGAATTATTTTTAAAAACATCATTTAGATTATATTGGTTGTTTTTTTAAAAAAATTCTCATTACAATAGTTAAGAGAATTGTAAATTTGTAATAAAAGAAACAAGTGAAGAAAAACAATGAAGAATGAATAAAAGAAAAAATATGGGAGAACTTTTAAGGGGAAAAAATAAGAGTTTGATTGAATAAAGGGTATGCAAAATTTTTAGGAGAGAATAAAAAAATACTAATAAAGAAGAAGAAGAGTAAGAATGAAAAGAAAGAAAGAATTAGAGAGATTTTTAGAAAAGAATAATTTCAGGAGAGGCACTTTATAAAAATAGTAGAGCCAACATGGCTCTGGGCTGAGAGAGCCAAGGTTTGCTCCCATCAATACTTCCACAGCTTAGTTAGACCTCCAAATTGGAAGTACCGAATATATGGTCTGAAATATATGATCTTCTTCCGAAAAATAAAAGTTGTCATATTTTCTTACAAAAAGAAAAATGTCCACTATGTAATCTAGAACAAACAAAAGGGAAAGAAATTAAGTTGTGTGCCATGAAATTAACTTTACACAATGAATGGCTGAAGGAAGGCAATACCAGAGAAGCAAAAGAAGGTAAAAGCATATAGCACTAAGGGCTAATTTGGTGTGGTTGAATGAAATAAAGTGGGAATGGAATGAATCAAAGAATGGAATGGGAATGGAATGAAAATGGAATGACCATTCTCATTCCCATGTTTGGTTGCACAGAAAAACATCATATTTTTGTAAAACATATATATATATATATATGTATGTATGTATGTATGTATGTATATGTATGTGTGTAGCCGACGTTTCATTAAAAGTTTTTTTTTTATTCATTTATTTATTTAATTTTTTTTTTAAAGTGGAAATGGAATGGTCATTCCTTTAGTTGAAAAGTGGAATGAATTAGTGGGAATCACCATTCTCAGAGAATGGGCAAGAATCATCATTCCAACTTTAAAGTTACTTACCAAACTAAAGAATGGAAACAAAAGCATTCCATTCCCACTTCATTTGATTCCATTCACTCACACCAAACATGGCCTAAAAGTCTAAAATCTTAGGCAAGCCCAAATAATGAAACATTCTGAATGTACGGATAGTTTTTTTATCTGGGATGTTTAGGGAACATATCATTAGGCAACATAATATTACATTACAGTTGTAGGAGCCCACGATGACACTAAATATCCACAAAATCCAAAAGATGATCCATTGATTCACAATTAAGAAAGAGGAAAAGTTACTCCATAAAACCCTATCAAAACTTATAATTAACAATCAAACATGTCATTGTACGTTACAAAAGATTCTAGAGGCTATAACAAATGTATTATCAATTTGGATCAATTTCTACCTAATAATTTCATTAGAACCATGCATAGCAACTATAACTTTCATACCTCATCAGCAATCATGGCGATGAGTGCCGAGTTTCTTGTGGCAATTTGAACTTTGTTAGCCATTGAGGAGAAATATCACGACTACATAAAGAAGAAAAAAATGGTATATTAGAAGAAGAGGCGCTGAATTGGGTACGCAGTAAAAAAAACAACAAAAACTTGAATCAGTCATTAGAACAGGACTTGAATCACATGCCAAATGTTAGGTTTGTATCCGATACTGGCATTTAAAAACCCACTAGACAAAGTCGGAGATTTCAAGAGAGAGCTTGAGTCCGAGATAAATTGTGAGAATTCTCTAGAAAGGGAGAGAAAAGTCGAGAGAAGGAAAGAGAAAAAAACTAGAAAAATAGAGAAAAGGCTAGAAAGAAATTAAAGCAGGGAGTCGGTGATGAAAGCTTCAACAAAATCGTATATATATATATATATATATATATATATATATAATTGGTTCATTATATATACAAAAACCTATATAACTAAATCACTAAAAAATCCAACTTACAAACCTAGATCACAAAATCGTCATTCGTTCACACACACAAGACACATATACGAAGCAACGAATTTAAATTAAAGCATAAAAACAAAAACAATTACGTTTGATTCAAGTTCAAGACCGACTCGATCTTGTGAACTGCAACAATCAAGATCTTGTGAACTGGAGCGCGATCTATATTTCGAGACCTTTTTCTTAAGCCGTCCAAAGAAAACTAGGGAGAGAGTTCCTCAACTAACCTCCAAACGACATCGCTTTAGAATAGAAAAATAAATAAATAAATTTTCTTTTACTAAATTTGATTCTTTTATAGCAAGAGTTTCATTTGACTTTGAAGGGGAATTTTATTTCTAAACTACTTTTCATAGCTAATTTGAGTTTTTATATAGAAATGTTTCTAAACACCTTATATTAATGAAAAAAATAAAAATTATGTAATTATATTATGAGTTTTTTTTATAAAATATAATTAGATAAGAAAATATAAATATCTATGTCTTTATATAAAGCTCTATTTTTTCAATTAATATAATAAGACAATATTTCGCACTCTATTTTTTTTCAGTTATGCTTTATTTATTTTTTTCTTTAAAAAAATGACAAGAAAATCCTTAAATTCATTAATGACCTTATTTTATAATATCATAACTACTCTTTATACAACTTCAGTTGTGGGACCCATCAAAAGAAATAATTTATTTAACAAAAATAAACTTTTTTTTTTTTTGTTTTATCGAAAAAAGATAATATTTTCAATAGAGATAAAAAAAAAAAAAATTTGAATCCTCTTTTTTTTTTTGATTTTTTTTTATGTTGACAAAAGAGATAATTTCTTCATTAATTATTTTTTTTTTTTTTTGTGGGTTTTTTTCCTATCAAAAGAGATAATTTTTTTAACAGTTACTTTTTTTTTTATCCGCTCAAAAGAGGCGATTTATTCAACAATTTTTTTTTTTTTGGTCTTGTAAAAAAATAAAAATAATTCATTCAAATTACCTATTTATTATTAGTTTTTTTATAAAATAAAATTTAATTAGATAAGAATATATATATATATATATATATGTCTTAGTAAGACATAATAAAAACATACATATAAAACTCATAATAAATAGGTAATAAATAGGTAATAGATAGGTAACTCTACTAATAAATAGGTAACTCTACTAAGACATATATATATATATATATATATATATGTCTTAGTAGAGTTAGTTTCTATAAAACTCTAACACAAATTACCTATTTATTAAGAGTTTTTATTTATTTTAAATTCATATAAGGTGTTTAGAAAAATTTCTATAAAACTCAAATTATCTATTTATTATGAGTTTTTTTAATAAAAAAATAAGGAAATATATAATTTATTATTATTATAAAGCTTTTTTTAATTATTATAATTATTTAATCATGTAATATATTTATCTTAATTAATATAATTATTTTAAGAAATTAATTTTAATTATTATTTAGAAAATAATTATTTAATTATTTTGTTGAATATTAATTTTAAATTAGATTTTACTACGTTTATATTAAATTGATTTGAATTGTTATTGTTCATAATCTATTTTTGATTAACAAATTTAGAAACGAATTATCGAATTGAATGATTTACAAGCACCAGAAATGTATATTTGAGAATGTATTTTTAAAACTGTTTTTCAATCAAATTCATTAACAGCTGTCCCACACTCCCTTTTTAAAGAAACAACTAGAAGAAGTTTTTTGCTTTTATAGAAAAACTTGAGTCCACTTTGAAAATGAGAACAATATGAAAAACACGTTTTCAAAATTATGACGTTGCATCAAGCATATTAGAGTACTTCATATTTTTTATGATGGTGTATTAAGCCTATTAGAACATTTCATATTTTACCATAGGATACATGTAGTGATCCTCTCTCAGATAATCACATTCATAGTACTTTTTTATTTTGCCTCACATCATAGTACCTTTTGATTTTGACTTAGATGTTATTTTTTTTTTTTTTTTTTTTGTCTCACATTCATAGTACCTTTTGATTTTGACTTTGATGTTATTTGATAATACTGAAATTAAGTACTAAAAATTTTAAGAGCCAAGTTTAAGTATTGATAACTAAAAAACAAATATTTTTTTAAATTTTCAACATTCAATGACAAGTGGTGTCTCGGTCACTTAAAATATTACTTCATTTTAAGTGATGCTTAACGTTTTCAATTATATTTAAATTGTGTTATCAAATACACTTAATTGAATAAACGCTTAACCCGCTTAACCCGTTCAGAGTTCAGAAGTAAACCTCAATTAAACAATCAAACACGAACCAGCTGAGGAACAACCACCTGTTCAACCATTATACTCGGATAATCACAAAGTGAAGAAAGAGCCAACATAAAATGTCAATTAACTGTAAGATTCAATTAATATAAACTTTAAAGTAATACACATCCAATAATGTAACAGATGATGATACTGACAGATGATAATACTGACACAAATCACGGAATCGCTACAGTTACAAACAGTAGTGGAGCTGCCAACCATCTAATTCTTCCTTCACAGTATTGAGAACCAAAAATCCTTTAGCCCTGGTGTGCTTTGTGTTGCTAAAAGATAAAGCTCACCGAAGTAGATCAAAGAGCATGACTACAACAATTGCCTAAGGCCGTCAATATTCATCTATTCTGATCTCCGCCGATCTTTCTGATTGTTATACAGAGGCAAAATCCAATTGGGCCCATGTTTCCTCTTCCCGCAACACCGCCAGTAGAGCAACAATGCCGCTGCAATCACGCCAACTGGAATGGCCCATCTGTCTCAACAAGGAGATTCAGAGGAAATGAAAAGAAAGAAACATAACAACACTGCTCATCAATAGTTCAACAACAACTTAAAGACAGTATCCCAATCTTCTTCAAGGATTCATGTTTGTTATTCTTCTCTCATCAATGCTTTCTCTTTTCTATGTTGGCTCATCGGAAGAGAACTAGACTAATTGTGAGAGTTCTTGCCAAATCTTCTGAAGTAGAAAATTTGTTTTATGGTTGGGTATTTAAAAATGAAGATACTAAGAAGTGAATTGACCACATGTTCATAGCTTCTCTAGCATCACTTCTTTCAGCGAAAAGGAACTCATGCTTCGACTTCTTAATTGTTTCACTGACAAAAGAGCTCATGCATCTCACAACTTCAATCATTAAAGAATTGTAGAGAGAGAGTGAGAGAATCTATCATCCTTTAGAATGCGTCTTAATGCAATTCAATAGGAAAAACTTGTGTGGCCAACCTGAAACCAAACTGAGTCTAACCCGGTTTTTTGACAGGCTTGGGCAGAGATCATTTTGTTGCTTGCAGTTGGACTAGGGTTAAAGAATATCAACTTGACCTCAATTCAATTGGGGCTAGGATAGAGTTGTCAGGCAACTCAAGCCAACCAAAAACTAACCTATATTAATATTAGCAATAATATTCTTGTTAAAATACTAGTAACCAAGCCTAATCTGAACCTAATCCGGCTGTAATCTGACCCTGACTGAGGTAACACAAGTTACACAACCGACTTGAGTCTAACCCAAGTTTAGAACAATATGTTCGGGTTTTGTCAGACTAGGGTTGAGAGTTCTATTTGTGTTTGACTTGAGTTGATCCATCAACCTAACCAAGTTGCGCCCTTACACTTCAGTAGAACCACATTCTAAAAAATTACAGTTCCAAGCCAGACGCTTCATTCTGTAGTTGATGCACAAAAACAAGCTAACATGCAATTTCACACCTCATCCAAGCACCGACATCAAACATAAATGTTTATAGAGTGAACGAGTTTGAGAAGCAAAGAGCAAGTGATACCTGTCCAAATCAAGGATAGGGCTGTAAACAACTGTTTCCCAGGTCGCCACAATAAAATGCCAAACCGGGTTGTAATATAGAGCCTCTGGTGACCAAAACATCCTTGTGTATGTCTCTAAGAAGATAAAAAGTATCCACGCCCCAATTTCAACCAAAATAAACTTTATGATAAATCGACCCACTACCACCATGGCAAGGGAGAAGGCCACCAACCAATTAAAGAGCCTGTGGTTGTATTCTTTGATAAACAGAGATTTTGACTTTCCCATCATCTGCATATTTTGATCACATGAACATTGAGAAAGGTTAGTAAAAAGAATTAAGGTGCATTCAGACTCCACATGGGATTGAGATTCGACTGCTTTAACAAAATATATAGTGATTTTTCTGTCTTCATACCCTTAGAAACAGGTAAAGCATTTTTAGCATCACTTTTTAAATTGCCAAGGAATAAATGACATTTCTAGATTATCTCTCATCACTTTAGGAGAACTGCATTTGTTTTGTGATGTCAACTTTTGGAAAAATATATTTCAATGGTTTTATTCAAACACTGATGAAACATTACAAACTGATTCGTCACTAGAGCATCAGAATATAAAATTTCAAATAAGTACTAATAAGATCTTAGACAGGTAAGTCTTGTATTAGGGACGCGTTCCCCTTTTGAACGCTTTTCTAATACTTATCAAAAAAAAAAAAAGATCTTAGACAGATAAGAAAATAAATTGAAAAGAAGAATGTGGAAGATATGCCAACCTTCATCATCCGATGCTCATAAATCGTCTTAGAAGGTCCAACACACTCCCTCTCAAAACTTTGGTTGCATTGGAGGAATCCTGCATTAAATTTTGCCAAGGAAGGAAGCCTGAGGACTTGGAGTTGGTCCATTTGGTCCTCACATCTAGTATACAGTGCCTCACACAACTTTGAAGATTGATATTCATTTGCCAAAATGTAGTTCTTATATGCCTGCACAAAAAGTGCATACAATTTTACACTGGAACTTCAAATCCCAAATATGAAGGCAAGGGCCTACAGAAAATTATGGAAGGGAGGCATTTGAAAGGTGCTATATGTACATAACAATTTACATCTCATACTATTATACTTTAAGGCCTGATTCATACCTTTCTAATTTCTTCCTCTAATTTTTCAACTGATTTTTTCGCATGGTGACGGCCAAAATGTTGTTCCTCAAAAGCTTTCATGGCTCCTTCTCTAGAGTCATCATGGGTTTTCTGTACAGACTGCTCTGAGAGAGGTAAACCCAATTTAGCCATCCCATCACTGTATAGTTTCAGACACCGCTCCAGAATACCCTTATTGAAAACCTCCACAAGAGAGCCTGTTGATGGAATTTCTCCTTTATTCAAGGCTTCAAGAATCTGAAATTCCAACATCCATTGTTGAAGAGAGAACATATAGGATAAGGTGTGCACACAAGCTAAGATTTAACCTACTTTTTTTTCTTTTCTGTTTCCTTCTTCAGCAGAGATTAAAAAGTCAAGACGAGAATGAGGGCAACTTAATGGAACCCTGGTTATTATGATAGCCATTGAGGCATCTCATTCAATTTTTTTAGCCTTCTTATCTTTGTATAGTTAACCATGACAACCAACATGTTCAATAAGACTGATCATTACCAGAATAATCACTTGAAATGAAACAAGTCATTATAGTAGAGACGTAGTTATGGGAGCGTTTAGCAAAAATAGGGACCTGTTTGGTTCAGTTTTTAGACAGTACAAAAAAATAGAAAAGAGTTAGAAATATCCAACTTCACTGAAAACTCTTTTGAAAAAATTTAGTTTTTTTTTTTTTTAATTCGTAATAATTGTTTATGAGAATTAAACAAAAAGGACCTAGATCATTTAAGCAACCCTCTCTCTCTCTCTCTCACGCATGCGCGTGCACACACACACGACTCACAAGAGATTGGCCCACTCTATAATAAGTGCTCCAGTTTAATCATCACCGGTTGAATAATTGTTTTATGAGAATTAAACAAACAGGACCTAGATCATTTAAGAAACTCTCTCTCTCTCTCTCCATCTTTCTCTCACACACACACATACACACACGCCCACACACACACACACGATTCTCAAGAGATTGGCCCACTCTATAATGAGTGCTCCAGTTCAATCATCACCAGTTGAGTTCATATCAACCTCACCAGAGGTGACACAAATAAAGAACAGACTAAGAGGTTCATTCATTGTCAGAAAAGAATTAGATGGTTTGAAAACCAGAATACTTAAGGATTAGAGGAAAGCACCTGCTCCAAAAAAGATACAAACTCCTTCCCGTTTAGATGTTTACCCTGCACAATCTTTGGACGGATGATAGAAGCAACAAGTTGTTTCAATTGCTCTCGCTTCTTCACGTAACCTGGGTCAAGATCGTCATCCTTCATGTCACAAAGTTTTGTACGCTGGAGATGAGGCTGTTTCAAAGTTCAAATTGGGCTATCAGGTAACTCTGAGGCAAAGAGTTTAGGGGAATGCGTTTGCAAATGTCAACAAATAAATCCTAAATGCATTAATCATTTTCAATCGTAACCTAACATTTTTATTATCATTATGGTCAGTACTTAATATAAAATAAGTTTTGAGTGTATATGAAAATAGAAATAAGGAGGTCACTGATAAGTACACAAATAGTTCTCCGGTTCAAAGTTCTAGCGTAACAAAGCATTTAAAAGGGGTTCATTTCTCGTACTACCATAGAGTTAAGCCTCAATTAATAAGTTGTTAAGTTTTTCTCACATATCAAGCATTGGTTTACCATGCTGCTTGGACTTTCTTTTAGGCTCTGTTTGGTTAGGTAGAATCAACTAGAAAAGAAACAAAAGTGAAAATTTTATAACTTTTTTAGAGTTTGGATAGAATGAAAATGAAACATTCTGGAAAATTTGAATTCTCGCAACCCGTTATTTTCCTCAAAACGTTTCCTGCCCAAAACAAGCGGAAAATAAAATTTTCTCGTGAAAGCAATGTTTTTCTATTTTGAATTCCTATTGTATCCAACAACTATATCGATAATTGTTAGCAACCAATAATTTTTTTTTTTACTGGTTTCAAAGAATTACAAACCAACAATAACTTTATTGGTGGCAGAGTTTGAATTAACTTGACTTCTATAAATAGTAGTTTGTAAGGTGTCAAATAATTGAAAACTATATCATTTTTTTAGATATATATTACTACTAATTAATTCTTTATTATTTACTATTTATTTTATTATTTTAGTATTTTTATAACATAAGAAAAATATAACATAAGGACAATTTAGGTAAGTACAAATATTTTTAGTAACTTTTATGCTATTCAATATAATTTTCTTGAATAAATTTTCACCTTAACCAAATGCATGCTAGAAAATAAATTTTCTTTCCATTCACTCCACTTTTCTTTTCATTTTCCGTTTCTTTTCTTTTCTTTCTAGTTCTATCTAACCAAACCTAGCCTTACAGATGTAAAAGTATTTCTCTAATTTCCAAAATAATTTTTTTAAAAATATAACAGCAACTTTAGTTACATGAATGTTTTCAATGACATGATTAAGTTAATTTTCTAGGACAATGCACTATCAATGAAAACAATAACAAATACCCAAGTAAATTGACTAAATAAATTAATGAGATGAACACTGACATGCACAACAACAGTCCTCTTGAGAAGAAAATTATTAAAGCACTAATGGAAATTGAAGTTCAAAGAGTATCCAAGGAGCACTCTTAGACCATGGATCCACGAACACGATAGTCTATGCAATTCAGATAGGAAAGTCGAACAACAAAACATATATATTCAATAAAAAAAGAGACTAAAATTTATTTTCCATGGACCCAAGCATCTAGGTCATGCAGACCAAGGTCTGTGTCTGGTGTTATGCAATAATACAGGTATTCAACTCATTTTGAAATATTCATGTAATATAGGGATTAAATAATTACCAAAAATGTGTAATATAAGAACATATTAAGAAAGCATTTCATGCAACTTCTAGTCATCTCGTGTCGTTTTGGGGAGGAGAGTGGAGGTTGCTCCTCTCGTCTTGTATCTATTACCGGGGGCGTTGGCATTTGGAAGTTCATTTGGAAAGGTTGGGATGTGTTTTCCACCCATATTCGATTCAAGGTTCGTAATGGTATGTATGTTAGATTTTGGGAAGACTTATGGTGTGGTGATTAGTTGTTCTCTTTCTTTTCCTCGTCTCTTTAGCATTGCCGAGAATAAGCATGCTTACGTAATTGACTGTTATCATCTTGATAACAGTGGAGTTACGTGGGATGTGCATTCTAGGCGTTCTTTTCAGGATTGGGAGATAGCTGAAGTTTGCGTCTTTTTGGACCTGTTATATAGACAGAAGGATGTTGGCAGAGGTTGTGATGATATTTTGTGGACTCCCTCTCTTCATGGTAGATTCGAAGTTCGATCCATGTTCTTGTGTTTGTCTAATTTTATTGGATATGATTTCCCATGGAAGTGTATTTGGCGCTCTAAAGCTACTCTTAGAGTTGCCTTCTTTGTTTGGACTGCTACCTGGGGAAAAATTCTAACATTGGATAATCTGCGTAAGAGAGGTAATACCATTGTTAATTGGTGTTGTCTTTGTAAAAATGATGGTGAGTCCGTGGACCATCTTCTTATGCATTGTCCTGTTGCATCTGATTGTTGGAATCTCATATTCAATATTTTTGGCGTTCAGTGGGTAATGCCAAAGCACTCTTTCCAATTAATTAATGCTTGGAGAAGATGCCCTGTTTCTGGTCATGCTCGTGATTTTTGGAGGGTCGTCCCACATTGTGCTTGGTGGTGTATTTGGAGAGAGAGAAATAACAGAAACTTTGAAGGGAAGGAATCGTCTTTTGCAAACCTTAAGTCTTTTATTTTATGCTCTCTTTTCTGTTATGTCAAAGGCAGCGCTTGCTCCTCGATCGATGACTTTTTTGTTCTATTGGACTCTGTTGGTCCTTAGATTTGGCTTTTGTTCTTTCGTTTTTGTGTATTAAGGACGCGTTCCCCTTTTGAACGTTTTTCTAATTTATTTTTACTTATCAAAAAAAAAAAAAAAAATGCAACTTCTAGTCAACTAGGAATGTGTTCTTTTGTCAAAAATGCCCACAGGGCATGTTTGACAAAACAAATGTCAGTAAATATTCCGCACTCCTACCAATGCTGTGTCAGGTCCAACAATGATATTTCACACAACGCTACGCTTTTTGCTTTACTAGCTCTCCTTCCTAGGATAGTGATATACCTCAGTGTTCAACCTCTAAATAATGCCTAGCTAACTAGAAAGAACTATAAAGAGGCAAAGGCAAGAATCATTTAGAATTGAGCCAAACCCATACTTGTGGTAAGCTAAATGCTGTGCTGTTATCGCCCATGATAGCCAAAGAATCCCTGATCTGGTTAACCTGATTAAAATACGCAGAAAGGACTTGAGAAATGTTTATGATTACAAAATAATGTCCCAATGAAAAAGAACCTTTGGAAGAAACATTACCTGGTCAACATTCTTGTTCCCTGTGGTCACAATATGCACAAAGAATCAATCTTTGTCTATAAGGAAGTAAAATTACCATAAATAGAAGACATCTTGGTACCCATATACAGGAGGGGAAAACTAACCATCATAATTAGGGACATGTTGAAGAGCTTGATCTACCATTTCTTTCACGGATTTCCCCTCTGTAAAACGGCAACAACAATGTCAAATTTATCATCATTGCAAGAGATAAGACTATGGGTGCCACAAAAACAGAATGCAACTTCCATAAGTTATCTCATAGCGTTCTGTCGATAAGAGTGGCAGTTATTTTGGGACACAGGGGGTTATGTAAAGTAAAATCTAAGAAACGTTAAATTTTGGGTAGATGACATATTAGCTCAGATTTTGAAGCTATTGTCTCATGCTACCACCATTTCAGTTAAACTGGTGCATCGTAGATTGTCACTAAGATAACTGTACTTGGGTTGCACCCCCTTGGCGCCCTTTTCTTGGGTTCTGCAACCTAGGTGTCAAATCATAATACTTATTGGAAAAAAAGATAAGGAGTTGCTTCAGTGTTAAAAGTTTGGACAGCAAAGCATGATAATACATGTTTGAGTCCAAGTGTGCACACTTTTTGGACATAATGCCATAGGTTAGGTAATGTTACCCAATCTACCACTTCCAGTATTCTTGATTAACGGAACATATAGGCAACCATTTTTCTTCTTATTCCCCCTTTCTCTTTCTCTTTTTTGGGTAAAAAAAGTACCACACGGCTACTATGATTTTATTCATAAATTAGCATAGGAAACCATATCTGAACTTACGTAGGAAATCACGCTGGATAAGCCACAAGAGTTTTGCAGGTTCAAAGGCAACATCTTGTCCCTGCAAAATATCTAGTCAATCAAATGCATAGGAAAACTTAAACTTCATTAGAAGACAATATACACGAGGGGAAAAACTTTAAGTGGTCCAAAGATTTACCTTCACTCTGTCCACCACATGATAGTTGAAGACAAAAACATGAAACAAGTCAGTGTTTGGTGACAAATGTTTTTTTTTTTTTTTTTTTTTTTGGCGGGGGGGGGTGTTGTGAATTTACCAAAAAAAATGTAAACAAGGAGTGCAATGACCATGTCAGAATTGCATACCTTCCATAGAATTCTTCAGCAAGCTCAACAGCAAATGACAACCGAGATATGTCTGCTTCACGGATCTAAACATGTAGCAAGACCAACATATAAATCAAATAAAGATGCTTTGCAGATGTCAATTGGGGGCTTGAATGATAGATGCCCCAAATTTCAATGGGTCCATGACCCTAATTGTTAAAACGCAAATGTTGATGTCCATGTCCCATCTGTCCAAGAGTAGGTGAGAAGTAATGCAACATTGTAAAAAAAAAAAAAACAAAACAAAAAGCCCTAAATTATTTAAGTCTCATCCATCATGCTTTCAGTTTCACTTCAAAACATGCCAGTTAGGATTCTATTGCACAATTGTTTGAATGATTCAACTACTAGTACTTGTTAGGGAACTTTCATTTTGCGAGTCATTTCAAAAGGAAAATTTCTTTCGGAATTAGTAGCAAATTAATGAAGCTGTAGACCTGTAGTCCATACAATAATCCATTAGATATGAGTGTTTATTTTTCTTCCCTTTTTTTCTCATTTTAATAGCTCATTAGAAACAAATTATTACTTAGACGAGCATACACCAAAAAATAATGACTCTACTTCGGCAAAGTAGCAATTCAGGGCTTGCATGAAGTACTTTTATTGTAACTCTATTCGATAATGGTTTCATTTTCCCAAAGGGGGCAACTGTTTTGGTAAATTCTCTTGCTATTTACTTTAGAGACTATGTTTCGGTATAGTTAAAACCTATTTTATTAAAATTGAAAACCTGACTAAGTCTTACACTTAATGCACAAAGGGAAAAAAGAGAAAATAAAAGTCAAGACCACCTTTCTATTCTCATCTTAAACCCTAAATCTAAACAAAAACAAAACTCTAAATTTGCTCCCATCACCATATAAAAAAAAAAAAAAAAAACCACAAAGCACACCAAGAATATACCCAGGAGTTGACACTTTGTACTTGATAGTTTGATTTTTGCAATATCAGAACTCCTTGAGTTTGCTAAAATTCCAAATTATTGGCTGTCCCACGTGATGATGCTCCAAATAAAGAGTAATTAAGGAAGTAGGAGAGAACAAGAGAGTTACAGGCGGAGAAACAAACCGTCTCAGGCAGGTTATAGATAAGCACAGAACTCAATACTGTTGCCAGAGCAAAAATCCTGCAAAGACAGCATTCAGAAAGGAGGATCCACAAAAATTTACAAGCATCAAAAGCAGATTGAAGATCTTTTACTGACTTAAAGATTACCGGTCATCATATACGTTTGATTTCCCAACACTTTCAAATCCTTCTGTATCGAGGTAAAAGACAGATGTTTTAACTCCATCAATATCTACTTCTAGTGGGGTTCCCCATACCCATATCCCTGGAAAGAATGAAAAATAAATTGTAAGTGATATCTGTACATGAATGGTTGTATAGATTCATGGCGTCATATCATACACATCTACCTTTAGTTTTCGTGTCCCGCATATGCCCAACACCAAAACCTGCAAAATATCAATCTTCAACGCTTAAAAAACATGTGAGAATTAAAGAAAGAACAATGGTGATGATTTCAGTGCGAGATGAACTAACAGTGGTAAAGGCTGCACCTTCATAACATGAAAGGGAGAGAAGCTGATTAAGCAGAAAAGATTTGCCGGAGCGATATGGACCAATCACCTAATAAGGCACCCATAAAGATAAGAGTAAAAAAAATGTTTAGTGGGTAGGGTAGGAGGAGGTGCTCCCGAGGAGGAAAAACGCTTTTCATTAAGTAATTGTAGTGAACAAAAACTTACAGAAATGGACTACTGGCAGTCATGCAAAATGAGAAACCAACAATGTTCTTATATCCAAAGCACAGAGTAAGTAAAAATAAGAGGTTTTAAGAACAAGTACAGTTTGCCTATATAATTTTTAAAAAATTATGGAAGCATTTGCCAATTAGGTTATGTAACAAAAAGTGAACAACCTAGATTTTTAAATATATTTTGAAATTGATTATGTGAGAAACTATTGCAACTGATAAATACTCAAGGAAATCAATCTCGAGCTTACCGCAACAGCTGCAATTGGAGTCTTTATTCTCTGAATCAGCTCCAACCCTTCCTTTGCAAGGCGAAGTTTCGTATGACCAGGATCAGGTTCTATAATAGGAAATCTGTAAGAGGTAGGGAAGGGAACAAGGTCACCAAGAGTTTAATGAATTAATAATATGATATTTGAAACTAATGGTTCTATGGCTCCTGCATAGAAGCAGTAATATTATGATACTTGAAGCTTATTTTGAAAAAGGGCAGCAAGATAAGAAATATATTACACAAAGGTGAAGGTTAATGAGCTAGCAGCCTAGCATTAAAAGAAAATTCCAACATCCCAACAAAGGATATTGTGGAAGCATACTTTAATCACACTAAAAACAATGAGATGAGATGAATGCAACAGCCGTTAAAGGTCTGCTTCAAACTTTGTGTCAATCAACAATATATGCTCCATTGATGACTGTTTCCTTGTTATACACTCATACAATCTAAACCTGGAATGCAAATTATATTAATTACTGTGCATGGTAATGCTACACCAGAACTTTTTCAGCTTCATATTGGGTTGAGGAATTAGAAAGTAACACTGGAATTCAATGCAAAACTCCAACCAATTGAACATATTCATCATTGTCATAACTTCTGCTTAACAACCCCCCCACTGATGCATGCAAGGTGGGGTTGGCAAAAAAGAAAAAGGAACAGAAAAGACATTGGTAATATTTTGAGTGGGCAAAGCAGTCCAAATCAATGTTTTGATGAGCAAAGTAAGCTGGGTTGTTCTTGTGGAGAAGAGGAGCATATTAGGAAGTTTGAATATTATGTTTAAGAATATGATTTCCATTTTTTTTTAACAAGGGAAGAAGTCACATTTTTTTAATTCACAAAATAAATAAATAAACAAATAAATAAAATCATAGAGAGAGAACATAACAGAATAGAACTAATAGCCCTGAATTATGTCAGGGCGAGACAGAAAAAGTAAGGACTCTCCTAACAGTTTTTGTATTGCTCTTGCAAGATAGGCCTTTGATAGGAAACTTTATGGACTTGACAAAACACCTTGTTATCATCACTTGACATCATATATGGTGTTTAAAATGGCTACCTCCACAGAGAGAGAGGTTCAATTCATCCATGGGCAAAACAGTTGTCAAGGTTTCAATTTGAATCAGAGGACCATGTGAAGCAAGAAAGGCAATGTGAAAAAGGTAAGACACACTAGCACACCCACTTTGTCCCATTTAGGACATGAGCCCTCAACCTCCTTTGAAATATGGACATACCACTCCCTCAACCTAATGCTTGGTGGTAAATAGATTTTTATTAAATTATATTAATTTAGTAATCTTACCCATCTTCTATGAAAGAATCGCTTTCTATTCTAACATTACTGACCAATGAAATTTAGAGCATTTGAAGTTTGAACCTCAAAGGCACAAAATAAGGGTGCACAAAATAAGGGTGGGAAAAAAGTAAATTGCTCCTTGGCCCATATAAACGTTTTGAAAGGCATGTGTAACTTAAACTAGTAACAGGAAGCAATAGGCAAATATCATGTGAATGATAATTACATATGAACGCTTGAAATTTGAGCAAGAAATGGAATTCAACTCAACAAAGCTTTTTCCCAAAGTTACATGAATCCTATTTTTCCCTTTTATATTGTCCAAGGCTATAACCTAAGTCAAACTGCATGTTATCATATCTTTCCTTACTACTCTATCCGTGTTAATTCTGGTCTTCCCTTTTCCCAAGCAGTGCCCTCAATGTGGATATGTCGCCCTTCCTAACTAGTACACTTAGTGGTATTCTTTGCACAGGGGTTCAAACCATTTTATTCTATTTTCTCTTGTTTTATCTAATTGAGCAACATATAGTGACTGCATAATTTTCTAACTCTTAACACTAAATTTGGCATAGGAACAAGCTTTCTTCCTTCTCTTGCAAAATTAACTATTTCATAGGAATTTTTTTTTTGTTCTTGATAACTTGCGCTTATTCCAAATAAGTCCAAGATTATTTCAAAGCAATACCATATTCTGCTATTAGAGCACTACAAGCCTATAAGGTTTTGAGCAGGAAGCGTGGGGTAGGAGAATTTCATCATCCTTGGATTTGTTAAATTCGTCATCTGTACTAAAGCAGTGGGAGGCTAGGAGGAAGCTAAAAATCTTCAACTCCGAAATCCACTAGGTTGTTTCATCGAATCCACAGGGAGATAATAGGAGAAAATTCTATTGATAAAATTTTGAAATCCATAGGTCATTACAACCCAAAATATATGTATACATAAGCTAGAAAATTATTTCTAACAAAATTTAACTAAGGTTTAAGTGCAAACCACCCCCACACGCACTATTGATATAGTGCAAATACCCTGTGTGGTATAAAACACCCCATACTTTTAATTCAGTGCGAATAAGGACCTCTCCACTTAAAAAGACTATAATGCCCTGTTGTCAGTAGAATGAAATAATATTAAAAAAAAAAATGTAAAATGACCGTTTTGGACAAGGCTAAACCAAACACCCTTTATTTTCTCTGTGTTTGCTCAATCTCAAACCCTAAGTCTCTCGATTTGAAATCCTAACCATGTAGTACCCTTATACTCCGTATATAACGTCAGTAATTTTATGTGTTCATGCATACAAGCATTAAACTTGGAGTCTTGGATTCTATGTTATCCTGTATTTTTTTTTTCTTCAAGTTATTCTGTAATTTAGGTTTTCTTAATTTTAGCTTGTTAGTGTTTTATTAGGATTTCACTTTCTCAGTGTTAGGGTTTGACTAGGATTTGGTTTAGTTGCCTTTTTAGTGATGGCGTCTATCTTTGACAAAATTCTATTTTCACAATTTACCAAAGAGATTCGAATTCAAAGAGAGATGAATAAGTCTGAAGTTGAAGATATCAACATGTAGTAAGAGATCGAAGAAGTTGAATGAATGGCTTCTAACATCAAGAGTTGCCAGAATTGGCAGACACCGCTGGAACAATCTCCTTCGTGTCCGGAACGGCGGAGGCCTGCGCCGTTTGTTTGGATTCCTTGAGAGAGGGCGAGTGGTGCCGAAGCCTGCTGTTGTGTAACCACATGTCACACTCTTTTTTTTTTCTGGGTATAATTCTTGGAGGTAGAGAGGCAAACAGACCCAAACAATCTTCTTTTTCTCTCTCTACCCGTATGTTTTCATTCCTGCAATTTTCTCTGTAACAACATGGGTGTTGACTGTTGAGGGTTTTATTGGTTAACGGTCATATATTTGGGAGCGTGTTTTCTATTTTCCCTCTGGGTTCAAAGTGTAACAACTCTATATATGTGTTATGATGATAAGAGGGACACATAAGTTAGTTAGTAATTCCGAGTTGTACATACTCACGAATAGTCACATCTATTGGGATTTCAATTTTATTGATGTGGGTTCATTCTGAATTATGTTATGTATGGGTAATGCTTTAAAGCTCAAGACAAGATTGCTGATCTTGAGATGAAATTGATGGACGTCAATAGCGAGCATTTGGTATCCCAGAAGCAGAGTACCATTCTATTGTTGGGAAGTCTGTTTGAGATAGAGAGGAGAGATAGACGTGCAGAGGGTGAGAGATGGGTAGGGAGGGGTTTTTGATATAAATAATGCAAGAGGGGTAAAATGGGAAGTGAAAAGGGTAAAATCGGGATATCAATTTTAGAGCGCTTTTATACAATTTTATTTATCAAAAAAAAAAAAAATTTGGGATATCAAATTTACTTTTGTGTCAAATTTCACCAAAAAGTGGTCAAGGGGGTGTATTTGCACCGTTTTTGAAAAATAGGGAGTGACAGTGCTCACTTTTCAAAAGGAGTGGGTCATTGTGCACAAAACCTATAGTGTAGGGGGTTTTCTGCACTTAACCCTTTAACTAATTACGAAATATAAAATCATGTATGGTTACCGGTCTACCTTTGTCCTGGTGGCTTTGGATCTTAACTCCCAAACCAAGGTTTCAAGACTAGTAGAGAGAAGAAAGAAAAAATATATTGTTAATCTAATCTAGTCAAATCATAACAATTCATTCTTTGCTAATAGAAATTAGACTTCTCAATTTATAAAAAATAAGAGAAATATAAGGTTCAACTTCTAAAATAATATGGAATGACCCGTGGCCTACAACTTGGACTTCCAACAGTCTCTCTCATCTAATGAAGAAGCCACTTGCTTCACATCAATGCAACTATTGGCACCATGCTATAATTCTTGAACTCCTTTCCTATTAATAGATGCAAACACTTTAACTAAGCCTTGTTCACTGACCATGAATAATTTAACGATTACTTCACGAGTTCCATAAGGGTTCAAGAAAAATGATCGTTTGTTATTTCCTGACAGTTCTAGTTGCATTCAAATAGCATGGAAGTATAACTTGCCTATGAGGGGCAACAGTAATAGAGCCAGTTTCCATGCATTACACTCTAATATGTTCATAAAAATCTTTTGGGGAATTCCTTCTATCTTTTCCATTTCCTTTCTACCACTTTTTTTTTTTTTTTTTTTTTTTTTTGGTTGTGTGTGGGGGGGGGGGGGGGGGGGGGGGGGGTGGTTGGGTGGGAATGGTTAGGCAACCAGAAATGGAAGATTAAAGTGGTGTTTAAGCTCCTTTGGAGACAAGAAACCAAATATACGGTTTTACCACCATCTCTGACCAGCTAAGCTAGTTGAAATCTTCATTAGGAAACTTTTTATCACAAGGAGCATAGAATTTTCAACTGCTTACAACTATAGAGCAAAACTAAAGATCCTAAGGACAATATGACTATTGTAATTGTTATTCATGTCTAACATTAGGTTAGTATGACTCTCCCATTAAGGCCATGGATTGGAAACTAATAGTGAAATTTTTACCTGTCAAGCTTACAAAGCATCTGCACCAATTAAATATAGCTTAAACCAGTGATTAATGAGGCCATCTGTCTACTGAATTCTTATGAACTGATATTTTGAGCACCCCTTTAGATAAGATGGTGCAATACTAGCATCAACACTTGTTTTAATCTTTCTCTAAGGATGCTTCAAAGACCCTCTAAATCTTCGCTACTGAGCAATCACCTTTTGGAAGCATGAACTAGGTCATTTGTTTTTGGTCATTCCAGATTAAAATTGCTCTTCTAAATTAGAGAGCTGCTGACCTAATGCATGTTTAATGGTCATATTGGTCAACAATAATACTTGGTCGCTGGCAACTGCAGTAATTTGTGATTACCTATGTAACTATTATATGAATTTAAATCTTTGACAAGCTAACAGTATCTTTTGTCTGGGTGCAAGCAAAACATAAATGCCAAAACAAATAAAAGTAAATAAGGTACAAAATCGAGATTAACATTGACTTTTTATTTATTTATCACATCAGTATTTCATCAAAGTTTACACCATATAAAGTTTAAACATTTTTGCCAAAAACACTGAAGTTAGATCCTAAGCGTAACTTATCAGAATCTACAAATCTAATAACGAAAACACCTCAAAATTGCAGAATGTTAAGTTTCACACTTGATTGAAAAGTTTCAACAATAAACCCACAATGCATCACAAGGATAATCATCAAGCACAACGAATGCACAACTTTAAATTATTGCAAGACCATATAAACCCATACAATTAGCTAAAATTCAAAACGTATGCATACAATCGTATACGAATTCAACGCATCACTTACGCTTGGTGAATATTATCGATTGAGAGAGACCCAGATGGGAAGAAGCAGAGAAAGATCGAAAGCAGTGAGAGCCAGCACGAAATCTTCATAACTGATCTACGCAGAGAGAACTATCTTGCAAATGCGGCACTGTTAAGGGTAGGTTTGTGCAATTGCAATGAGTGAGAGAGCATGGAAGGCAAAGAAGAAGAAGGGGAAGAGGGTGATCTTGAAGGCATGGGAATAGAGAGAGAGAATGGGATCTCAAGAAGCCATGGAAGAGGGTACAGGTTAAGAATCGTAGACCCCACTCTTTGAGGTTACTAGAAAACCCCGATTTTTGGGTCTTCGAAGACCTGAAAAGTGAAAAACAAGGGATTTCTGCTTCCTTTGATTCTGATGCTTTTTGAAAGAGAGAGAATTAGAGAGGTACAGAAGTGGTCAGCGATGTGGTTTACAATTACATTGCCGTGAGCTACGTTACTGGAGTATTTGAATCCAAGCTGCGAAGAGATGACGGGGGTATCCTTGTCAATTCGCATGAATTTTATTTATGCATTCCTAACCGCTGACATGAACCAATAAGATACGGATAACTCTGATTTGCTAATTAAAGCAAGATGTGTCCAAACATAAACTCAGTAATTGTCAATCGGGGTGGGTTAATATTTTTTTGGGTGAACTAATGTTAGTACTACATAATAAATTTTTTTTTTTTTAGTGGGTTCAAGCTCATTCCTGAATTCGTTAATAGATGTGTCAATATGTTATTGGACGATGTCACATAATGATGTACATTCTCACCGGTGAGTGATTTTTTTTTTTGTTTTTTTTTAACCAATGAAAAATATTGAGGTTGTTATGCCTTACATATAATAAGGAGCAGAGTCCCCTAGGGCACACACCCCGGCCCGCCTTATATAATATATATAAATTTGTATAGTATGCCCCTAAAATTATTATGTTTTCAAAATTTTCTTTAACTTTTTCTTCTTTTTATTCATTTACTTTTTAAATTTCTTTAATTTTGTTTATTCAATCATACTCTAATTTGTTTCTTTCAAAATTATGTCATTTTTCTTTTCTTATTACTTCTTCTTTGTTTTTTTTCCTTCTTCTACTTTTTCATTGTTGTGTTTTTTCTTTTTCTTTTTTTTGTACTTTGCCCCTGAATTTAAATCATAGCTCTGCCCCTGCATATAATAGTCGACATTCAATCCGACGTGGTGCAACAAAGAGCTAAAAATACTCCATCAAAACAAAATAAAAAATCATGTGTCTTTCTTATAATATTGCACCACGTAATCGTTGCAAAGATTGCAATGTATAATTTCTTTGAAAAGGAGGGCTTGTACCAGTTCAAATTCTTTTACTAAACATTCTTTTACCGAACCTCATTCCATATTAAGTAATTTTAGCTCGAACAAGTATGCTTATAAAGGACCAATGACTTGTCTAATCTTTATAAGCCTAGTATATAACTTATTAGGACATAAGCCCATCAATTCACATACACAGCTGCTGGATTAAAAACAAGTAAAGAAGATAAAATATGTCACCATCCCGAAGGCAACACGACCGCAACAACACCATGTCTGCAATGCCTAGCCAACAGTAGCAATTGCAATGTTAGGTCGCTCTCTATTAGCTTGCACAGTTATATGAGTGTGGGTTAGAGTGGAATCATCTATGCTAAGCTTGTTCTAATTTGAGTCAAGCTCGAACACCTTTTTAAGGTCACTCTCTATTAGCTTACACAGTTACACTACGAGTGTAGGTTAGAGCGGAATCGTCTATGCTCAGCTTGTTCGAATTTGAGTCAAGTCCGAACATCTTTCTAATCTTAATGAGTCGAACCTGATCAATTAAAAGCTTAACTCAACTCAATTTGATTCATTTACAGTCCTAAAAATAAAACTGTATAATATTTGGTAGATTAAATGGTTCGACATCAACTTTCAAAATTTTGACATTAAATTTACCAAGGGTACACTTATGATATAGTTTGTACTAAAAGAGTTGAAATCAGTATAAAATTATTTTTTTATAATTACAAAAACAAAATAAAAATTCTTACCTTAATCTCACAAGCATAAGAAAATATATTTGAAAATTTTGAACATAATTTAACATAAAAAAATTCATGCTATATTTTTTTTATTTTCGAAGAAATGCAAACCAAGAAATCAATACAATTATTTAAAGGAAAACAATGTTCCCACTCTGGCCCCTATTCTGAAATTGCACTTCACTTGTCATTTTTCTTTTAAATGAAATAACAAAAAAGTCCCTAAAGTCATATAATACGTCATTCCTCAAAGATAAATTTGAGTATTGACAAAATTGAATTTGAAAATTGAAAAAGATTTTTTTCAAAGTGCATTTCAAACACAATGATAAACCAAGGCTTATAACACATTAGCATCTCCTCTAGCCCCTTAAGTGAAAGGTAAGAGTGAAATTTTCATTAAGGATTCAAATCTTCCCAAGAGGGGATTCAAATCTTCCCAAGAGGACCCTGCGGATAGGACCCGTTCGTCTATAGACCTGCAAGAAATTCTTAGCGGGACTTACTCAAAATTTCACCCAAAGTTTTGGCTTTGTAAGTTTCGTTTCAACTGTTAGAATATATTCTATATAATATATTGTTACCATATATTATTAGAGTATATTATATAATATATCATTACCATATATAGCAATACACTGTATGGTAGCTCTCTTAACCTACTCTCATTACCATATATAGCATTATCTTATATGGTAATAACTTGATATCATTTCTCATTGAATGTGAACGTTAAAAATTTTAAAAATATATTTAAAAAATACTTATTATTTAATTACCACTTAACAACTTCTCTTAAAATTTGAATAATTCATTTTCAATTTTATCACACAACACCTTAATGAAAATGAACCTGATGCACTTCCTTAATTTTTATGTATAAATCAAGAGAAGTGGAAGAAACAAAGAAACAATACAGTGGTAAATTTTCATTAAAAAAATAATTTACGCAAGTAACTTTTCATGTACGAAGAAGAAAAGTTTAGAAGACAAAGAAATAATAACTCAATCAATAAATTAACATTAAAAGATAATTTATGTAAGTAATAACTCATTAAAAAATGTCTGTAAAAAATAAAGAACCTATTGACATTAATATACTAACATAGATAAGTGTTTTGGATAGTCTTTTTCAACTCATGTAATAATTTCATAAAATATAATGTAAGGGATAGATACCTCCCTCGCTATCTTTCTAAACAAATTCATTTTTTAATAGAACAAAATATCTCATCAGTGCACATTTTTTTGCAGTATTACGTAGTGCACTTTACTTCTCCGGTTCCTACTTTTTAAATTATAATGAAATGAAATTTTGATTTTTTTAAGAAAATAATAATTAGACTGAAATAACATTAATCATTTATAAAGTAATAAAATTCAAAACACAAAAAAAGGTTGTTTTGATATGGCATGATATCGGGATATGATGTTACGTAATTTATACAAAAAAGGATTTAACTCATTTATAACAATGTATTATTATTCTTGTCTTTAAATATAACTGAAGTTCCAACAACACAATCTGATTAGTTGAACCGTCAATGTTCCATTGCTCAAAATTTGTTGGACGATGTTAAGAGCGGGTTTGGGTTGAGCTCAGATAATGTTGACTGAAATTTAACCCAACCCAATTGAATTATAATTACAATTTTAAATTGAATCTATCCAACGTTTAAAAGAATAAAATATGTGTAACTTGTCGTATATTATAGTTTCATATATTAAGAAAAAACTTATTTAGAGTTTCTAATTATCTAAATTGAATTTAAAAATGAGGGAGCGGACACGTGTGAACCTATGTTTGACTCACCCCATTCTCCATCTCCTTGCCATGTAATAACAAAGACAACTAAAGACTGCAATCTCTCTCGTTGGGCCATTTTGTGGTTGAGAAAATGAATCCTAATAGTTTGAATTTTATCCAAACTCGTCACCATCATCCAAAACTTTATGGACAGAAGAATGAGATGCATTGTGATTTTTTTTTTTTTTTGGCTCTGCCCCCACTTTCCTTATCTCTGATGTGTTATTTTCATAGGCTAATACTTTAAAAAGCTCAAGGTTCAACCTTAAAGAACTAGTTATGAAATATCAAGTTCTAAGCATTCAAACTTTAAACTTTAGCTATATTCGTTTCCTGAGAAAAGGTGGGATTTTTTTTAAATTTTTTTTAAATGTTTTACATTGTATTGAGACGTAGGAAAATATAAACCAAGCAAGCCTAATATCAGTTGAAGCGATTACCATGAAGGAAAAAAAAAAAAAAACAGATTTAGAAATTGATTCTCTTCTAATTGTTCAAAAACTTTCTCAGATGCCAAACAAAGGAGAATCGAAAAGGAGTAGAGACAGGAAATTGGGTGTCGGTAGTGAAGGATTGATCGTGGAAAGCCTAATGAGACTGTAAGTCTACGATGAGTTAGAGTGATTTGCAGGTTGTTCGCTACCTTTGGCTAGGGTAGCATTACTGAAAGGGATTGGAGGTCGTTCATCTGTCTTTGGCTAGAGTAATGAAAGAGGGGAAGGAATTAGGGATTCAATTTGGATCCGGTTTTTTATTTGGGTTTAATCAAAATGCATTTCAGATTTTTATTTTTTATTTATTTTAATTGAAAGGACACTTGTCATTTTATGTTTGGGCCACATCGATAATAAGTAGAAATTTCTTAGTCACCAGTAAGTAGGCAAATATAAATCCCATAAATTCATCGCATGAGATACTATAAAAGAGAGAATTGATAGCTGAAATGTTGATTTATTATTATTATTATTATTATAATATTTTTTTTCTTCTTATAATTCAATAATTATTTTGTTCATACCAAATCTTAACTAGCTAGAGTTGTTAAGAGTCTCTGGGTGACACTAGTAAACTCCATCGGGTCCATGCAACACAGACTTCTCTAATTGACTCCACAAGATAGGGCTGAAGTCTCCCAGTCTTTCCACACACCCTCGGACTGGACTTGTCTAGGTCATATCTACTAACCGTTAATGTGATTCAATTAAAAATGTATATATAGTCCATAATTATAAAAATAGGAAAGTGATAATTAAGGAAAGTACGAAGGATGACTAATTTTTTTTTTCAAAAAAAATTATTATCCTTATTTATCACTTTCCTAATTTTACAATTACAGATTATGTGTATATTTGTAAGTAGGAATAACTTACTCATCGATGAGTAGGCAGCCCCTATGGTCTCTTAGTACAAGAGTATATCATCCATCTGGCGATTAAAATGAGAACTTCCCATATGAGAACTTTCCGCAACAAGCAGGTTGATAATAAGTTAATACTTAATTACTCTAGGTGCTCCTTAGTAATTGCTAATGTGGTCCAACCACAAATTAATGCATACATCTTCTTTAATTATATGATTAGAAAAGTAATAGATA